TTAATTGCTATATTTTATTAATGTGAATCGAGGGACAAACCAGAAGTACTGTAAACATTACGGTTTATTTCAGCCAACATAACTGAGGTTCTAGGAGTTAAGGGTGCTAGTAAAAAGCCTGAAGCTGGATAGAAAGCGATATGGGAAGGAGCGCAATAGTCCTAGTTGGAGGACTTTATAGCCACTTTTAAAAAACCTATACCCTAAGTATAAAGGCTAAGAACCGATACAACTAAAGTGTCGTTAGTTTTTTTTTTTTTTTTCTATGACTCGTGCATGAGCCCAGATAATTCGAATTAAAGAAGTTTTTTTACTCTAAATATGCTTGACGGACTTGACGATGAATTTGATTTTTGAATATTTGATCAATGATTTTTTTGTACAGTCGACATTTCATTTGATTTGTCAGCTTGACTTGCAAAACGGGTGTTAAGAGCGTAAAACATATTCGAACCATTGCGTTATCTCAATAGAGCCGACTAAACAATGCTCAAGGGGGTTACGGCAGGCTACAAGCAAGCAGCTCGTTGCCACTTCACTTGGCCCATTCAGTGTGAAACTGCCTGGAAGAGCACATCTCATTCATGCTAACTCATCCATTAGATTCCGTCGGAGTCGAGCATTTGCCGGAGAAAGTTGCCAATAGGCTTTCGATCCGGTAAAAAAACATCAAAGCCGATCACGCAGTCAGATTTTAAAAACCGGCTGAAAGACCTGTGAAGATAACTGTCAGGCTTCTTTGATACCAGGCCATTTGGAAAAAAGGAAAATTTTCCTATTTGTTAACCCGGGGCTGATATACTTTTAAAAAATTAAGAAAATTGATATACCTTACCAAACATACTTCTCTGCAGTGAAATACGTCGAAGTTAGGTAAAGAATGCAGGGCTTAAACAAACTTAAATTTATTAGTCTGGATTTTAATACTAAATCACATTCTACCTACCTAATGAGTGGTTTTGCGTTCAAATCCCCTTCGGGGAGCGCAGGCTTTGGTAAAACAAGTTTACAGAACTTCGAAACTCAATTGCACATCAGAAACTTTACGGTTCAGGATATATAAACCGCTCACGTACGTATGGATAAAAGTAATATACGTACGAATTCATTGTTAGCAAACATGATTTGGATAAGAAAAGCATAATTCTAAATCAGCAAATTTAACGGATTTAACAAAGCGAGTAATACGAATATGTCCTATCCTCCCTAAAAGTGATAAAACCAAGGAAAATGACTTTTTATCCAACTGAGCATACAGCTTTTGTTTCTTTGCATACATATGGCGTGAGCATGACTGTTCTGAGTTTATATTTGTTAAAAATGTAATACAATTAAATTATCGGTGAAGTAGCATAGGATTAGCATGAGAAACAATTTTTTCCTACATGTACCAATGAAAAACGTGATAAATTTTCATGCTACTGCAGCACGTTATTAACGTAATTACTGTGATGTTGGCACCAATGTTACTTGAATTTAATAGCATACTTTTCAATAATTGTGGTCTGACATTTTCCTTCCTGGTCATGGACTGTTCTGAAAAAGGACTTTTCTTCTTTCAAGCCCAGTGGCCCATTGATAGCACCTTTTGAAAAGACATATCAAGGACTGGCAGGCCATAAAGGATTCCGAACAGTCGATCCCTTTGACTTTTATCCGGGCCGAAATACAGCGTAGTACGCTGTGCGACTCGGTTATTTTTTCCCGGATTTTCGCCGGGCCGGCACGCCATTCGTGGATTAGATCCCGTTTTATAAACAATTCCTAGGCACGAAAGAGGAAAAAATTACGTCAATAATTTGGTGGATTTGGGGGTTAACGGTCAGTTGCCAAAAAGAATATCTGCTCGTATGGCTTTCAGTGTTAAAATATGCCTTGCACTTCTCTGGCATGTTAATTTGTTAGTTTTTGAAATAATTTCGGAAATCATATAATCAATAATTTTATAAATAAACTTAAATGTGTTAATGTTATATGTACATAGGTATTGTATTATTTTTATAAATAATATGTTTTATTTCCCATAATAACGAGGTATACAGATTAATAGTTGACTTAAAACGTAAACACAACTTTAATAACTTTTGTACGCCGGTTTTCGTTTCGTTTTTATAGACATGCCTAATTGTAAGACCAGTAATGGTGCTGGGTGTGTCGTGTATAAGGAGGGTGGCCACTTTTTGGTCGTTGCCTCCTCATTGCAGCGTATGCACGGCAGAATTGTATGCAATTTGGCCCGCTCTGGAGGCGGTACGGAGGAAGGCTCAGATTCGTATTTACCGACACTCTGAACACTGTTTGGGCTTTATGTGACACGTTCTTAGAAAGATATGCCGAACGGCAGCACCTTGGAAAAACGGTGGTTGATGTCTGGTCACATGGCCTGGAAGGTTACGAATGTGCAGAGCGGCGGCGAAAGCTTGACGAAAGGTCTCCGAGAGGCTCACAGCTTGTTAAGAGCAAGGCCTGCAGATGGTCCCCCGAAGACATACCGGAAACAAGGAATAGTTGCCAGACTAAGAATAGGTCGTACGCTGTTGACCCATGGACACATAATCGTGGGCCAGCCCTCGCGCAGGTGCCCACTATGCAGAGAAAAGTTGCTCGATGTGTCGCACATAATTGCCTTGGCTCCCTATTGGGTGCGAGTGGGCACGCCGCCAGATTTGAAAGAGTTTCTCGGACATAACGAGTTTTAGAGTCCCCTGTTTCGCTTTTTAGGGACATTGGGAATTTTTTATTGAATATGGCCGGCAAAATATGTCTTTTGTGGTTCTGTGTTTTGAATAAGAGAGAGTATTTATTAGTGTGAATGGGGATGGGCTGGAATAGCATCTTCTATCCCCCCTCGAGCTGTTGCGTGACTTGGGTCGAAGGCGGAATATTTATAAAAGTACCCCATCGACCCCAATTAGATTAGTTTGTTTTTGTGTGCAATTCGATGGAGGAATATTGAGTACTCCATCTACCAAACAAAAAGAGCACAATGTACAAAGCGCAATACATACATTCGGGTGAATGCGTATTGAAGGTGTATACAGGGCTGAAATGACCTAGATGTCGATTCCCCTATATAAAAAAATAATAATAAAAAAATAAAAAATAATAACTTGTTTATTATTTGCCAAAATGGTTTACTATGTTTACAGGTAGTTAATTTATTTATTAGTTCAAGCTCAAACTACTTTTTTAAGTTTTGTTCTTATATTGTTCTTTGTCTTACCATACAGCTGTTTGAGGTTATAGTCAGCTTTATTTTTTCTAAAAGTTTTAGACTCGATTTAGCACATTTCCTAGTTGAAATACAATTTTGGTCATGCCAAAGAGAAGACATTCTGGGATTCCTATCTGAATTTATCTTTTAAATATAATATGAGTGAGTAATAGTTTAATGATGAGTAATAGTAACAGTTTCATAAATAGCATATGTTAGACTAGAGTTCAGGTGGACAGTTTAGTTATTTTGATCTTACCTACTCTAGAAGAACGCATTAAAATAGTTTTGAATTGTGATCTTAGCTCTTGTTTCCAGAGGATTATGTCCTTGAATATGACGTTATTAGTACCAGTTCTGTGATGTTTCTTTGGACGTATGTTTAATGTTAGTTTGAGAGGAAAGTGACGAAACCCTATTTAAAAATATATATAAATTATTTAAAATAATTTTTCTCGCCTCTTGTGGCATATTGGCAAGAACACTCGGACACGTGTTTAATATTTTTTTACCTAGTCTCAGCAAAACCGTTTTTCTTTAAAATCTGTGATCGCACGTCCTTCTCTTGTAATTAAAACAAGCTTTAGTTTTAGATAATAATAATCAGATACATTTTCCTTGATTAGAATAATAAACAAATGGCTTGTTAATATTAAAGAAGAACTTTTCCAATGATCGACTGAACACATATATTACTCTTGCATATCACGACGATTAAATAAGAAAAAAAACACCCAAACTTATCACTGAAGATGGTGAAAAGTTGAAATTTGACACACCTAAACAGTGGACGGGAAACAACTGAACAACAGAAAAGGAAAACTCTTTTCAGATAAAGGAAAACTTTTAAACATCTCCATACATGTCAGACACATTTAAAGTATCTATTCTTAACAGAGTGTCGAAAAATTGATTTTTATACAAGAATGATGAAGGCAGAAGAAAACTTTGTAAACTCGGGCTTCTCTCAAAGTGATGATTTACTGGGAACTATTTCTGAGATCAAATACTGTTCTTAACAAAGAGCTTTCATCTAGGAATAGTGCATAAATAAATATAAATGAAGTCGTGTTTCTCACGACAACGAAAAGCCTTGTATTTTTTATGTGAAATTTAGAGATCTCAAATGTTCAAGCAAAGATTAAATTAAGACAGTAACACGGTAACATTTGTTGCTCGACAATTCGTAAATTAACATTTTATGTGTAGCAAAAAGAAAAGAAAGAAAATAGTAATTCTTTGGTAGTCTCATTAAAATTTATAAGAAAGCCTGTCGGAATTGGTAACTCGCGCATGTACCTTATTTGCATCGTTACCAGAATCCACCCTGTTCCACCCGACTTACGTATCCCGCCCCGGGGGGAAATTACCTCCGGTAAAATTTCTCAATTTTCCACCGCCGTTGGCCCTCTGAGCATCTGCACTATTTCAAAATAAGGCGTCGTCTAAAATCCTCTGAAACGTGGTGGAAACGTGGAGCGATTCGTCCATTTCCTGACCGGTACGACAACAACCGAAATTTTCATTAAATCTTGAAATTGCTCCATATTTCAAAAAACATTACGAGCAAAACATTTTAGCAATATAACTAAACGCTCATTAAATTGATTTGACAGTAATTTTGATATGGGTTGACACACTGTCAGAATCCTCTTTCCTACCCTTCGAACACCCCATCAATGACCTTTCCTCGCATAATCTACATGTATGAATGAACCGACGAGTTTGGGTTCTTAGCATGTTGGGACGAGTCGGTGTTCAATAAAATTTGAAACATCGTTGCAAACATAATTATGTCCATTTAAGATATCTTTAAGACTGTTTTTCCCTGATGATGACCTTAAAACATGTGAAAAACTAGGCAGTAAGAATTTGTGTTTTCATCCAGCCCGGACAGAGATCCAGATTATTCGTAAAAAAAAGAGGTTCAGAGAAAACGTATATCCAGATCACATATAATAATGTGGTCGAATTTAAACGCAAAATCTCACAACGCAGCTTAAATAGTACTCGCAGGTCAGTTAAACAAATGCTATCGCAGTTGTTTTTCTTAACAACAAGTAAAGCTGGTAAAATGTTTAACTGTTTGTACAGAAACGGATGAGTGGACCAGGAAAAGAGAATTACGACCATTACCGTGTTGAAATTTTTTTTGAAACAAGAGGTCAGAAAAATGGACATTCCAGTCCACAGTGTACAGATAAAGAAAAACCAATGTTACGCTTTAAAAATAGCAACTTCCAATTGGAAAACCTAGGAACCTAGAAACGATTATTTCTAAGTGTGTAGGGTTTGAAAATTTTCGAACCCGGCAAAAACAGCGCCTTCAGAATATAAGAAAAGTGCAGCTAAAGTGAGTAATACATTAAATCAGTGGCAATTTCCAAATAGAGATGATCATTTTGAGTACCATATGACAATGTAAATAGATGTAAATAGTTTTTATTTTTCTGCAGCACCTTTTCTACCACCTTGGATCTCTGGCAACCACACGTCTGACACCGTAACACAGAATTGCACTAGGCCCAGAAAAATATGGATAGTGGTTTGGGTTTTAATAGACGACCAGGTTTGGCTTAATAGTAATTTAGGGATTGAAACCTTTGAAGCAATATGTATAAGAAAGATGGGGAAATTATACATATATGTATCTGTATTATTCACTACATTTAAACGAAACGTACCGAAAAACCTCCCTTTTTGAACGCGATAACTTTTGACTTCTGCAAATGACCTAATTAGTTATATAAGCTAAAATCTGCAATTGTATGTTAATACACACGTGTTCACTGCTCTCACTCCACCGGAAATTCTAGATTTGGTAATTTACAATAAATTATCTGCATATTTCGAGAATCACCCACCTTGAGGGTTGGCAGTCCGGGCAGTCTTATGCGTCTAGCCACCGAGGTTTGACCCATAATTTCAGCCACCAACGCAATCATTTCGTAGATCAAAACCCATTCACACTCTCACTCTTAAATACATTCTTTCTTATTTACATACCAGTCACATAGCATGGTAGAGAACACGTCCTCCATCACTCTTTAAGTCTTAATAAGTATTATATAAATAACTTTCAATTGATTAAGGTTTTTAGTTGAGATAAAAAAGTCAAAGTCAAGAGCGGGATTCGAACCCACGATCTTCCGCTAGATACGCCGCTGCTCTATCACTTGAGCTATCGTGACCTCGACCCAATCGGACACTAACTTCCCATCTCAACCCCACTTTTTTTCCCTCCTTTTATGCCATTTTTTTATCTTAACTAAACAAATGGCAAATTTCTAGAATGTCCGGTGGACTGAGAGCAGTGAACATGTGGGTATTTACATACGATTGCAGATTTTAGCATATATAACTAATCAGGTCATTTGCACAAGTCAAAAGTTATCGTGTTCAAAAAGGGAGGTTCTTCGGTACTTTTCGTTTACAATGTAGTGAATAGTTCACTATTTTTCGTGGTCCGCTTGACCAATTAATAACATTCAATTAATTAAGGTTTTAAGTTGAGATAAAAAAGTCAGTGTCACGAGCGGGATTCGAACCCACGACCTTCGGCTTGATACGCCGCTACTCTACCACTTGAGCTATTGTGACTTCGATCCCCTCGGGCACTAACTTCCCATCTCAACCCCACCTTTTGAATTTTCCCTCCTTTTTGCCTTTTTTGTAGTGAATAATACAGATACATATACGTATAATTTCCCCATATTTCTTGAACATAGTGCTTCAAAGGCTTCAATCCCTAAATTACTATTAAGCCAAACCTGGCCGTGGGTTCGAATCCCGCTGGTGACGCCGACTTTTTTATCTCAATCAATGCCTTATATAAAGATTTTTTATAATGTTGATTACTGTTAAGTTAATTTTAATTTATTTATTTTACCGATCACGATTTGTACAATATATAGATCGTCTAACATCCTTTTTATTTAAACTACTTATTATTAACATATAGCTCTAAATTAAAATAACCTGAATTAAACCTCATGACGTATATCCAAATGTTTTTTTTTCTTTTTACGAGGGTTCGCAACAGCAGAGGTCATATAAACCCTCAGCGTGCCGGTGTTTTTGAAAAAAAGCCCATTTGTAAGTATGTCGGGTTCGAATGCAGGGCCGCTGGATTCGAACCCGGGACCTTACATCACCTTACATTGATGAGCGCCGTGTCAAAGACTAAACCTTGCGGCCACCGACGCCCCCTTATCCAAATGTTATTTGATTAGAAACACGAAAATAAATGCGCTAAACCCTTGCTTTTCCCATTTATTAGACAAATAAGCATAAATTATAAATTCTTAATTCACTATTTTCGTGGTCGCTTGACCAATTAATACAAGACAATTAAGGTTTTTAGTTGAGATGAAAAAAAGTTAATAGCACGAGATTCGAACCCACGACCTTCGGCTAGATACGCCGTTGCTCTACCACCTGAGCTATCGTGACCTCGATCCACTCGGACATCAACTCTCCATCCCAACCCCACCTTATGTGTTTTCCCTCCTTTTGCCATTTTTTAAGGTGGTAGAGCAGCGGCGTATCTAGCCGAAGGTCGTGGGTTCGAATCCCTCTCGTAGCATTAACTTTTTTTCATCTCAACTAAAAACCTTAATTAATTGTCATAAATGATAAAGTTGAATATAGTCTCATTTTTCGAGCAGGGGTATGGAAAAATTGTTTCAATTTGAATGAATTCACAGATGACTGTTTGGTTACTGAACATTTGTAAAAGTCAATAACAGCGAGGAAATGTGGAATATAATCGTACTTCACAGTACAAATAATTCCGCTCCTTTCAATAGAATGCAAGGACAAAGACGATCAGCCAGTCAAAATATTAAATTAGAGAGACCCACCCGATAAAATCCCCTTGTTATTAAATGGAAAAGGGCTAACGATAAAGCAGCCCTTTGTAAGTCTTGCACGTACAATTATTTCAAGTGATAAATAACCCAAATGTTCCCCGTTTGCAATAAACCTGTTTACACCCCGTATGAAAAGCATTCAGTTACCTCCTTAATGAAATCCTTTTATGCGCCGACGGTCCTAACCGGAGGCAATATGAATAATGAAGACCTCTACAAGAGCTTGGAGTCTTTCTAGCCTTAGAAGTGTAAAGTGTCTACAATGAATATTTGACCTTACTTCTAGCTATCCGTCCGTCGTTTTTGACAGTACTGTTACCATTTTCAAAAATGTAATTTCATGAAATTAATGAGTGAAGATCGTTTCAAGTGGAAACATTAGGTTCTTTCATTTCAAAAATATGTGTTAAACATTATTTGTAATTTAATGTTTAAAATAAAAATTTATACTGAATATTAAGTGTATTTTTAAACGATACATATTTGGAAATCATTAATAACGCTTTTTCAAGCACCAAATCAATTTATCAAAAGGGATCTGCAAAGCATTTTTAATAATAAGCACAATAATCCGAACGTGTCCGAAAATAATTTTACTGTCTATTGTTTCTCTAGAACTGTAAAAATTCGATTTTTTTGGCTATTTCAAAATTCACTATTGGTCATTGGTTGAACCGCCACTATGTTACTTACTGATCTTTCAATTAATTAAGGTTTTTAGTTTATAAAGAGATAAAAAAGTCAGTGTCACGAGCGGGATTCGAACTCACGATCTTCGGCTAGATACGCCGCTGCTCTACCACTTGAGCTATCGTGACCTCGATCCACTCGATTACTACTAACTTCCCATCTCAACCCCACTTTTTTTTAATTTTCCCTCCTTTTATGCCATTTTTTTATTTCAACTAAAAACCTTAATTAATTGAAAGATATTAATTGGTCAAGCGGTTCCACGAAAACTAGTGAATTTAATAAGTTACTTATTGAGTTGGATGCTATTCAAACGCGTTTTTCTGACAAAGATCCTCATTAAAAGTGGGGCAAAGCCGAAAGTTCTTTGAGTAATATTTAAAAAAAACCTTGATTACAGGCAACCCAATAAATCGGTTTTCTCTTATTTTTATTGTGGTTGTGCGGAATGTTGGGGGTTTTTTGACGAAAACACTTGCTCGTTTTTACATTAAATGCATTTTCTAGTCCTAACTGCCCTCTTCAGAATATCTGATGATGCTGTTTGATCAAATAAGTAACCAAGGGCCCAGGTATGCTAACCAACTCGTAGTCCAACTCCCAATCAATGAACTTTAATAGTCAACAAAAATAATTTTATTTTAACTAATAATTTTAACTAGTGTCGTAATTCCATAAAACCAAATCAATTAATGAATTACATAAATTATATATTCAAAGAGATACAAAACCTTTTTACGAATATCTTGTTCACATCAGGCTTTCCTTATTATAGTCTCTAATAGATTTGGATAAATTCGATTACACATTGATAAAAAACAAAATACCATGGACAAAAAATTAAAAACATGAATTACGTTAGACTTCAAATACTCATAAAGACAACAAATTCCAATTAAATCCTTCCCAAGGGTTAGAAACCTCACAACCAAGATCCTAAGTAAAGAATAAAACAACTTATTAAATAAAGGCTTAAAGTTTAACTCAAAAAAAGAACTAAATAAAACGTTACTATCCCTTGGCTCATAGACCGTACTTTAAAATACCTGAATATTGACTTATTAAAAAGAATTACAAACAATTAAAACCTTGGTTAAAACAATGGATATCATGAAGTATTTATAGGTAGGTTGTTTGTCAAAATAATTTTAAAAATTAACTTTAAAATAGCAATCATCATGAACGAATTAATAAGTTTTCGCTGCTTGCCATTCCCCATTAGGAAACTATCGGAAAAATTAAGTAAATTCTTAAACCAGGAAGTTTTAGAGTCGTTTTTAGAGGTGGATGTTCACTTAAAAACATCCTCTCAAAACCTAAAGACACACAACTTGAAAAAAGCTGGTTTACAAACTTACTTGTAATTATTTCAATATCAAATCTATAAGAAAAAGCGGCAGAGAATAAAATGAGGACAACTAAAACGAACTAAACTAAAAAGAACACTTCAAGAATCGCAAGAATTTTCTGATTTAAGAAACATCCAAATAAAACAAACACATCGTCAATTTACATTTAATTACAACAATGTTACACAGTTTCAACAAAGGTAGGCCAGAAGAGTAGTTTTAGAAATTTGAAATAAAAAATGTAAAATTAAGCATGGAGATAAATGCATAAAAAAGATAATAGATTTTGATTCCGTCCATTTTAAACTTTGTATCTTTAGCGTGTTGGTGTATATTTAATACTCGAAATCAGGATAGCAGCCTAAAAATTCTGTGAGTTGGACTATCTTTCTCAAAGAGTTCTTGTTCAATTGTTAATCAAATATTACGGAACGAGATTACGCCCATCGGCCATTGCTATAAATCCGCAGAACAGTGATTTTCCTCATGCCGACAAACTTGATTCTCCACTGAGGGGATTTGATTCAAGGTTCGAAGATTTGGAGAGATGGGATTGAAAAGAGCGGATAGCAAAGAGAGGATCTGGGAAAGGATTGCTGTTCAGCAAATGTATATTTTTGTCGTTTTGGGATGATGTGGAATGTCAACCGTAATTACAATGTGTGGTGATTAGTGACCGTTAATCGATGATTATTCAGAGATCGTGAGAT